CCGTTTTTCGGTAAAAAATCTCTATAAGTTAAGCATCAATTACTATGCTTCAAGTGTAACTTATATTTATATTCATAGTGATTATTATGAATCTATAAATAAGATTTATTAGTGATTCCATTACGTAATACTGGTTGATCTACTTGCAAGGGTGATGTCTAGGCTCAATTTGTGAGGTACTTAAATTAGGATTTCCAAATAGTATATTCTATATACCATACGGACTCTACCCTCAATAATATTTTACTTGGTTGCTCCTTATCAGCTACATATCAATATACATTAGGATTGTTTCGGAATCTAGACTATCATTATTCACGAGGAATATAAGACTAAGACTTAGTAATTTGTACCTAGGTCTCATCAAGGGAAAAGCATGAAGTGTTAGGAAAAGCTCTGACCAATCACAAGTCATCCACTTTAATAGGTGATTGCGTAATTACTTTCATCTTAGACATAAATATGAAGTATTTAACTGCTTAGATGCTATGTGTTCCTAATATCTATATCTACAATATGTGTGCTCAATATGGCTTACTTGGTTGTAGTATATTTTGATAAACTGTTTAAGTATTTATTTTATCATACCTAAAGAATATTGGTAGTGAAGGGCTACCAAAAGTAAAATAAGATGTGTGGTTGTAGCCAACATGGTACTGTTGTACTATTAGGGCTTAGTTATCTAGTACGATATTGAGTATGACCACAAACTATTCTAGACAATTCTAGTGAAACATAAACAAGCTTGTAACATATAGGTGTTTATAAGTTATGATGGACATGTTTACAACATGTAAGTTTCAATTAACCTTACATGGTCAGGTCTTCGACTAGTAGATGTTAAATGAACCATGTATATGATAACTGAACCACACATGGGCAGGTCTACGACCTGTAGATTTTAATGAACTATCTATACTCCATTTAACCCATGGTTGCCTTAATGATATTTATTACTAGGGAATCCCCAAAGCGGTATTGTCTACCTAGTGATCTTTTAGGGTAGGTCTCATGAGATCATCATCTTAGGATCGATGTCTGAGAATAGCGGAAATGGGTAATCGAGGTATTTGTTTGATGCAAAATATATAATTAAAACAATATAATTGTAATAATGTGTGTTGAAAACCCTATGTGCTAACCAAGCTACTGAGCCTGATCTATTCAGTTTCTTTTAGTAACAAGTATCAATACGAACATACAGAAATAGTGATGTTTGGATCTGATGAGAGATTCGAGGAGGTGTAGGCCCTTAGTATAATAAGATGGTGTAAGGACCTAAGACAAGTTTAAGATTATGTTTTCTATTAGTTATGACATCATAAGTTTATATATTAAATTAAAAACATTTATTTAGAAACGCTTTGATTAAAAATAATGTTTTTTCGAAAAAATTTCACAATAAAATAATACTCTAAATCTAATAGCCAAAAAGAAAAGGTTTTAATTGGCTGAGAAAATGGAGATGTCACAAATATGATATGGAATGATTTAGATCAGGACAATGCTATATGCCTACCAGTTTTTCGTTTGTCTCACGTAGGTTATATTGCTTTGAATATGCTATGATATAACATAGATCAAGGCCATGCGATATGCCTACTAGGTTGTCCTTTATCCCTGCGTATGTTATATTGATTTGAATATCTTATGGTATGAACTGGATCAAGACCATGTTATGTGCCTACCAGGTTTTCTTTTTCCCCGTGTAGTTTATATTGCTTTGAATATGCTATGGTATAAGTTAGACCAAGGCCATGCTATAGGCATATAGGGTTATTGTTTTTCTCGCATATGCTATATTGATTTGAATATGCTATGGTATGACCTGGATTAAGACCATGCTATATGCACACTGAGTTGTCATTTTCCCAGTGTAGGTTACATTACTTTAAATATGCTATGATATGACTCAGATCAAGACAATGTAGTATGCCTATAGGGTTGTCGTTTGCTCCGCGTTAGTTATATTACTTTAAATATGTTACGTTATGAATTTGATCAAGATAATGCTATATGCCTATCAGGTTGTTGTTTTCTACGCATAGGTAATATTGTTTTAAATATTCTATGGTATGAAACGGATAAGGACCATGCTATATGCCTACCAAGTTGTTGTTTGCCCCACGTAGGTTATATTGCTTTGAATATTCTATAGGATGATTTGGATTAAGGCCATGCTATATGCCTACCAGGTTGTCATTTTCCCCTGTAGCTTATATTGCATTGAATATGTTATGGTATAAATTAGATCAAAACCATGCTATATGTCCACTAGGTTGTTGTTTACCTCGCATAAGTTATATTTCTTTGAATATTCTATGATATAACTTGGACCAGGACCATGCTATATCCCTACCAGGTTTTCGTTTTCCCCATGTATGTTAAATTGCTTTGAATATGCTATGGTTGGACTTAGATCAAGACAATGCTATATAGTTATCAGGTTGTTGTTTGCCCTGCATAGGTTATATTTCTTTGAATATGCTATGGTATGACTTGCGTAAAGACCATGATATATGCCTATTGGGTTTTCATTTACCCCACATAGGTTATACTGCTTTGAATATGCTATCTGATGACTTGGATCAAGACCATGTTGTATGTATAATGGGTTATCGTTGAACCATGTAGGTTATATTGATTTGAATATGCTATGGTATTACTCAAATCAAGACCATGCTATATGTCTAATAGGTTATTTCTTACGCTGCATATGTTATATTTCTTTGAATATGCTATGGTATGGCTTGGATAAACACCATGCAATATGCCTACGATGTTGTCGTTTACCCCATGTAGGTTACATGGGGTGTTCGTGTGACATCCCAATTTTTACGGCCAGAAAAGACCGATTAGTTTATGCTTTTTAATAAAATCAGAGTAACTTCTTAAGAAAAGTGTTGCGGAATTTTGTTCCTAGAAAAAAACATCATAAATATGTTATCAAAGCATTTTCGAAGAAATTTATTTTTATTCCTTTTAAAGCCTTGGGATGTCAACGTCAATAAGGAAACATAAGCATAAACAGAACTTACATTCATTTACACTAGTGATCTACATCTCTTTAATCCCTCAGTGAAGTGTAGCTTTATATTGACACCTGTGATACAAATAAATTGAGTGGACCAGGTTGGGAAACCTGGTGAGTACATAGGGTTTTCACCCCACAATAATAAAGTTATTATGTTTTATCATCAAACAATTAACCCAATTACTCATCCCCATTATCTTCTTTAATTCCTAGGGATCTACCCAAGGATCATCTATCACTCATTCCTAAGGGTTTCCTAAGGAACATGCACGAAGTCCATCGTCGCCAAGGTTTATACAACAGGAATTAAACCCATAGCTGCCAGGGTTCACCCAATGGGTGCTAAGTCCATAGCTCTCATTTATCGACAATATTATTTGCGGGAGTTCACCTGCAATACATGTCAACGGGTTTTTAGAGTACATTGGGTGAACATATCGTTCATAACACATACAGGTAGCGAGCCTGCTACTATTCCACAAACTGTCGAGAATAGTCCATGGTTGTCATACGTACTCTGCTAGATGACGGGGCCATTTTTTGGGTAAAGGTTTCTCTCATTTTTCACCTTTCACCCTCATCTCGTACTCTATATCACTGATGAATCAATGAATATAGTAAGATATTAATCAGAGTTAATATTGCATAAAGTATGAGAGATTGAACACCGGAAGTAAATAAGATTTCGCTTCAGTTCTATTACGCTTTGTGTATACAGAGAACAATAGAAAAGACTATAAAAGTTATCTGACTCTAGTAAATGATCCTATTTATAGGATAGATAAAGCATACAACAAATATACTAAGGGATAAACATTTAAGCTTCGTATAAAAGCGCCCTAGTAAAATAGATTACAAAACATATGAAGAGTACAAAGTATACTTTGACTAATTACAACAAAAAAATCCTTACAATCTCCCCCTTTGTAATCATAGTCGAAAAATTTAATTAGTAAGCAGTTGGATGGAATACAGCATCACTCTTCGTATCTCGGTATACCAGGAAATTATCTTCTTAAGCTTCTTCTTGTCTCCTTTATTGTTCTTCTTACAATGATTCTCGGTATACCAGGAAATTATCTTCTTAAGCTTCTTCTTGTCTCCTTTATTGTTCTTCTTACAATGATTTATACGAACAATTAAGTTTGTATATTGAGAAGTTGAGTATCTTTCCACCTCACCAGCCTGGAATAAAAAACATTTTGATTTCCCAGCCTTGTCCTTTCCTACGAAGACTAACCTAAAGGGCTTCAAGCAAATTTGACCATCAACATACTTTTTCAGATCTGCTTGAGTCTTCGAAGGAGCCATTGGAGCAGTTATTTCTAATCTTTTTTGTGTAGCTAACTCCACATCAGTCAAAGCCAAGCATTCATAATAATTTTCGATGAAGATCTTGATGTGAGTAACTCCAAGCTTGAACTCATCCGGATCAGTAATTTGAAGATAAGAAAAAGATATTTCCTTCAACAACAATGCAACTTATATAAGGTCATACAAGCTTATTAATGGAAAATCTACAATAGTAAATTCACAAACATTTCCATTTTCCATGGCCACCACATACTTAATATTTTGCACTGTGTTTTCAAAAACAACATCCTCCTTTATACTGATCACTTTCTTTATCTTTATAAGTGACCACACCTCTTCAGCAGATTTTGCAAGAACTGCATGAAATCTGATCTTCATATGTGTTCCTTCATCCTTCACTTTGAATTTACTTTCAACTTTGAACTGGGGCATGATAAACATCATCTCATTGATCGGAAAATCCAATTGGCGTGCATCAGTATTCGTAACTATGTGGCTCTATTTTGGCTTCTTTTCGAATGGATACATATGATTGAATGCAACCTTGTCTTTGATTGTTTCGTAGTTATAATGCTTTGATGGACCACTATTATTCATGCCTGGAGGATCACTTGCTCTTTGTGTCATTCTACTGTTATTCATGCCTGGAGGATCACTTGCCCTTTGATGGCTTTGATTGTTTCGTAGTTATAATGCTTTGATGGACCACTGTTTTTCCTATGGATTTCAAAGTTGTATCTTCTATTACTTCTTTCGTTTTCAAATCACTTCCACCAATATCAGCAGATTTACCAATCACAATACCTTTCAAAACTGGTCTTGTTATTGGCAGAATTGTTACCACTGTCGAAGTAATTGGAGCAACAGTTGCTATGATTGGCTTCGTAGTTGGAATCTTTGAAGAAAATACCTTTCCCACCAGCTTCGCATCATCACCACCAGCCTTCGCATCATCACCCTTCCTTTCTTCCCCTTACACCCTTGTATAAACAGACGAGATATCTGTTGTTGGAAGAAGGCTGGAAATGCGAGAAAGAGGAGCCAATTGTTTAAGAAGTATATCTTCGAATTGAGAGAATTTTTGAAACAGAAAATCCGAAGATAGTTGAGAAGATGAGACTGGCTTTGTAGATAATTCTTTGAGCTCCTTAAATAAAGTGATGACCTCCATAAAATTTTTGCTTTCAGTTGTAGAAAGTTGAGATAGTTGTGGACTCAAACTTTCATACAACTTGGCAAATTTCGTCACAGCATCACAGATGATGTCAACCTTCTGATTTAGAGAAGCGTATTCTGTTCGAACACACGTAATCTCTTTGTCCATATCTTGACAAAGCTCTTGAAGTTTGAAGTTGACATCTTCAGGAACCTTCTTGACGTATTGAATAAACAATACATGACATTCCTTAGTCGCCTTTCGTAATTCCTTTAAATCTCCTTCAAATGTGGACTTCTGAGAATTCACCCTCAACTCATTGTTGTGATCAGACAGATCAACCTTCTCCAAAATATGAGACTCGGAGTCTTTGAGCATACCAGAAACTTTCGAAGTGATCCTTCCTTCTAGCAATTTTAATAAACCATCAACCTCTAAACTTGATACAAAATTACCTCCCCCAAGATCTGCTTGTGATTGAAGAATAGAATTCAGCTTTGTATTCAAGATTTTAAACTGATTCATTGTCATAAGCATATGATCTGGGAAATCAACTTCGTCTTCATCAAATACCAAATTCTCAAAAGTACCTCCAAAAACTTCATATTCATTCTCAGTCTCCATAAAGATAGATGCTTGAATTGGTGAAGTGGTTGTGGGTGGATCAGTTGATTGAGAAGAGAAAAGAGAAGTAAATGGATGTTTGATGATGTTTTCAAATGTAGGGGAATCTGTGGTAGAAGTAATGGGTATGATAGGTGTAATTTGTGGAGGAAAAGAAACAAAAGTTTCTGAGGTAACATGCGAAGGTTTACCTTGTTCATCTTTCTTCGAATCATCCTCACCCATGATGACATTTGCATCCATATTAGATACGTGTGCAAGAATGTCAGAAGTTTGTGCCTCCTTAAAAAATGACTTGTCAACCGAATCTTCGGGTGGTATAACAGTTGTATCTGAAGGAGTAGAAGTATCTTTTTGGAGATTTGCTTCAAGAGTTTATGGATTTATTTCATCTTCATCATTTGTATATTCATTATACATGATCATTATACTTGTCTTCTTCTTCTTCTTCTTCTTCTTTGAGATATGTTTAGCCATATGTTCAGCCCTTCGTTTCTTTGATGATGGAGAAACAGGCGCTGGAATTTCACGAAATAAGATTGCCTGATGAGTAACATGTGGCTTTCGTACTACATTAGTGATTGGAGACGTGCTCTTGTTCTTCTACTTCATTTTGATTCTTCAAAAAACACCGGTCTTCGAAGGAATAATTTCTTTTTCTTGAGTTTCTGGACAGATAGGCTTAGTTAAGGTTATGTCAGCAACATAAACTTCGTGTGTCACTGGCTCTTCAGTTGTGATTGGATGCTTCTTTGGAATCTTCGTGGACTTAGACTCCTTAACTGGTTTTTCAGAAGAACCAGTTTCAATCTTGTTCGTACGTTTTGACCTTGTCTCCTCCCTTGCCAATAGAATCCCAGTCTCAATAGTAGTATCAATTGTTTGCAAATAACTCACTAAGACTGTATTAGTTGGATCAACACATTTGAGCATCCATCAGGAATACGAACTACAAAAGGAAACTCCTTAGCATCATCAGTTACATCCTTCAGACAACTATATACGTGAAAAACTGCTTTTTCCTCATCATACGGTACCAAAATACCCTCCATCTCATAAAAGTACTGCAGAATCAGGCTCCAATATCTTGCACACGAAATGCCATGAAGAGCAGTCGTGTTTCTGAGACTCTTCAAAAATTCTTTCCACAGTTGAGTAGAATAATCCACTTGTAGATCATAATAAAGCCCTGCAACCAGGCCATATACCTCTATACTACCTTTGTCAAGACCTACCGTTCTTCCAGTCAAACACCTCAAGAAAATACCAAATAAGAAATTCCAAGCACTGGGAAGACCAGACTTCTTGAAGTCACTGATCTTTGATAATTGAGGTTGATGGCTCATTTCATTAAACATGTGAACGATTTGAGGAAAGGTAAAATTGACATACGGTGGGGAATTATGGATTTCCAAAATTTGACAGAAAAGCTTCTTGGACAGTCTGACCTTTTTATCATTCACGAGATTGAAAGTAAATTCATCAAAAGCTTTTGAATATGTAGCTGTTGATTCGGCTTGAGAAAGCCATGAAAGCGGAACAGAAAAAGAACTGAACATGGCTTTTGACAGAACAGAACTCTTTAAAGCAACGATTAGCATCTTGAGTTCTTCAGGATATTGAGAAACATTAGCCTCCACTTGATAATTCGTACCCTAAATCTTCATAATCGGTAAAGAAGTAACATCATCAGTGGTGTGAGAAAGATTAGCATCAGGATTAGCAGAAGTCACCATTGTTAGGGTTTGAAAGCTTGGTGTATATCAGAGATTATTTGGGAATTAGTATGTTTGAAAGCATAAACTGATAATTGACCCTTGAATCCCATTTTATATGTAACCCTTGATTTTGAAATAAAAGTGGGATGTGCATTTAATGAAATCTGACGTGGCACCGAGAAAACCACGTCATGATGATGAATAAGTGACCATGCATGATAAATTAACTGTCACGTCTCCTCAAAAGCCAGACAGAATACAAAACGTCCCCTCAAATAGGCTGGTTTGTTTGCCCCAATGGAATAGGAACCGTTGGAACCCTTCGTATTGAAGTAAGACTCTTTTACTTTTGGGTTTTATAGTAAAGTCATTTTCCACATGTTTGAAATCATCAGTCTGAGTTGGTGTTACTCGGAACTTCAATGATTTTGTGTGTGCAGTGCTCTAAAGAATTTAGATGAGAAGTAATAAAAAAAAAATTTGGAATTCAGTGATGTTAAAAATTCAATTTGACACGAAGGCAATTAAAACCCCGAGCAAAGGTTACTTCGTTAATCATCAAGAGAGATGATCAACAACTTGTGTAAGTTCCCGTGAATTACAATCGAATACTTGTAAAGAAGTATCGAAGGGCTTCTTTTAAAAGGCTTACTAGGTGGCTTCATGAATTTCGTTACATATCAACCTAAACATAAGGTGAGTAACTGTAACACACGTAAATCATATTCAAGAAAAAAAAATTGTGTACTGGATCTTGTTGGGTAACAAACATCATGGGTTTCGAATGTTTGATCAAGACCACTCATAAGAAATGAATATGATTTGGAGTTTTGAATGTAGGTATAGAAACAAATGTTTCGTTAAAACCTGGAACATAGTTCCCCGTTAATTCCTTAAATGTTGAGAGATTTAGGTTTCACTTTCATCACGGTCTCATGATGTCTGATCATAAACACAGGGTTTTGATATGTCTAGGTTTCGATTGGTTTAATTAGATACCTCTTGGACATATGTCTTCGTGTGTGATTGTGTAAGAATTTTGAGATGAAAAGGGTTGGTAGAAGACACAAAATGTACCTCTGTTATATTTGGACCAAACAGTAAACTCGTAACTCATGTGAGAAGAGCCAGGTAGCTCAGAAGACTAATGTGAATACAAGCCTAATTGGGAAGAAATCTTCGTATGAAAATTTTCATTAAGGCTTTCGAACACACACAATGACTCAGTAGAGGGTTTGGTCAGCATGTTGCAACATGCTTTTAGGGACATCTTAACTAGTTCAAGGTGTTCGAAAAATACATGACCTTAGAACTACAAGCATTACACCAGATGAATCGGCATATAACAACATGTAAATCTGCAACAAAATACGAAAAATAAAATAGAAACAAAATATTTTTGTTTTTTTCGGATTTTTGAAAAATAAAAATAAAAAAAAATCTTTTTGGAATTTTTGATTTTTCGAAAATAAAAAAAATTAAAAAAAAAATCTTTTTGGAATTTTTGATTTTTCGAAAATAAAAAATCTTTTTGGAATTTTTGATTTTTCAAAAATTGTAACGACCGTGTTTCGAGGCTAAGCATTGATGCGTTGATGTAATAGTCCATATCAACTACTGTAACTTATTTTAAAGTAATAAAGATCAATTATTTGAATATTATGTGAATTATGTGCTTTTATGTGATTATATACTTATTTATAAAGATATAATAAAATAAACATCAAAAATAAAATGTTAGATAAGCCCGATATCGATGAAGAAAGTTGCAGTGGTCGAAAAAAGGATTCTGGGGATATAAAGAACGCCGAAATCCGAGTTATAACGAAGAAGTTATGACCCGTCGAAGTTTCGCGACGGAACCGACACGACGCCGGGAAGCGTAAATAGTGAATTTACGATAGAGTGACTTTTACCCTTAGCAATCTAAAAGAAAGTCATAGAATATGTTAAACCGAGAGCGTCCATAAAAAGAATGCCCAAATCTGACTTCGTATGAGGAAGTCATGATTTTTCGAAATTTCGACTTAGCGGTGTAAAGCCCGAAATTCAAATTTTAGATCGATTGATTTTTGGCCAACACAACCTAAATGAGGATTAAATATCTCATTAATAGGAGCTAAATGATAAAATGACAGATGAAAACAGATTATATATGTAGAAGTTCTGAAGTATACACGGTCGTTTAACAATGTAATCTTCTCATAGTGTTAAATTTAAAATCGGTCAAGCATTAGCCAATGCGGTCAAAAGGAAAGTTTTAGATCTTGTCCTTACCTACGCGTGGATATAAAGAACGTCGAAAACGGAGCTCGTATGCGAAAGTTATGGGTTTAGAAGTCGGCAAGGTGCTGCAGCGAAGTGGGTGACGTGGCACAATCTGATGACGAAACATGGCACCAACTCGACGAGTTGGGGATCAGAAACTCGACGAGTTGGGCCAGAAAGTCAATGAGTTCACCCCTTTTTCAGCCTATAAATACCCCCCGAGAGTTCCTTCATTTTTCATTCCAAAACCCACTTATTCTTCTCTCTACTCACTCTCTAAACCTCCCAAAACACCCCAAGAAGCCTAGGAAACCTTTCTATCTCTAGAAGGAAGGCTCGGAGAGCCCAGAGTCTCTGAGAAAAAGAGTTTTTCGGTTCAAAACTCTGCCTGTGTAAAGCCTGGTTTTCAAGCAAAGTTCCCGGTTTCGTCAAAGGAGATTATTTTAAGAAGCGAAGTGTTGTCCGAATCACTCCTTATCAGGTGAGTGCATAGTCACTTTCATCTTACACATACATATGAAGTATTTTATATAAATCATGTGCTACGTGTCTAAATATATATTGTTTGGTTACCTGAGATGTTTGCTGGATGAAAGATCTGAACCTCTTTCTTTTCAGATCTAAACTTCTTCCCTTAGATCTTAACATTTTCTTCCAGATCTGAACTTTCTCCTTCAGATCTAGATTTTCCTTCGGATCTAAACTTTTTTTTTTTCCTTTTATATCTAATACTTTTCTTCAGGTTTGAATGGTATATGTATTTTTTTCAGATCTAACCATTTTCTTTCTGATCTGAACTTTTTCCTTCAGCTCTGGACTTTCTCACTGCAGATCTAAACTTTCAGATCTAAACCTGATATATGGATGATTTATACTTGAGATCTGTACTGGATGAAAGATCTAAACTTCTATCTTTCCAAATCTGACCTTTTCTTCATATCTAGACTATATATATATATATATATATATATATATATATATATATATATATATATATATATATATATATATATATATTATGCTTTGAAAGTATGATGAAAGATTTAGACTTTGTTTTTCAGATCTAGACCTTTTTCTTCAGATCTAAACCATATATGTATTTTCTTTACAGATCTGTACTATTTCTTCCGATCTGAACTTTATATGTATTTTATATCTACAAATATGTTGGGTAAAACATGGGTAGATGAAATAGTTGGTGTGTGATTAAAGATGAGTCAAAGGATGAGATAAAAGGTAATATAGATTATGATATGAGGGTGAGAGGTGAAAATGAGAGAAACCTTTACCCAAACGATGGCCCTGTCATCTAGCAGAGTACTGATGACAACCATGGACTATTCTAGACAGTCTGTGGAACACTAGCAGGCTCACTACCTATAGGTGTTGTGAACAATACGTTCACCCGGTGTACTCTAAAAACCCATTGACATGTATTGCATGATGATTGCCGCAAATAATACTGTCGATAAAGGAGAGCTATGGACTTAG